CAATTAGGAATGTGTGTGCAGTAGTTTGCGTGCCACCTCCACGGTTGGAAGTTTCAATTAGTCCAACAACTTACGTCTTTATTTCTGAAAACTTACTTTATTCTAGGGATAAAATTGTTTAGCGTAAAGGTTCTTGCATAATGGCCATCGCAACACGCATGTTTTGTAAGCACGCTATTAATTAACTTTTAAAAATCCCGTTTTAATAAATGCTTGTCGTGTAGTAGTGCCTAGTATAAAAACCAAGAGAATTTGCTAATGTCAGAGATTAGTAGTCATTTGACAGTTGTCACACAATTTAATTGCTATAACAACTTGTCTTTAAGAACCCTCAATAAAAATGACATTTTGGCTGATTTGTGCATTTTGACCAGTCAAGTTTTTTGTGAACTTAATTTATTTATTTATACTTCATGCACAATTTAATATGTAGGTACATTAGGCGGACTTAATGCATTGAGCATTCTCTACCAGTCCCAACTTTAATGGAACGGATAGAAATATTAAAACAGTTTTCAAATCATAAAGCATTTCAAATTTACACTAGTCGTAGTACTTCATACATTAAGTTTAATTAATGTAGTGTTGAATCATCTTGCGAGCTTTGTGCTATTTTTTTTGTGATGAGACGGCAAACGAGCAGCCTTGTTACCTGATGGTAAGCACGCCTCCCATGGTCACCCAACAAACAACGGAGGAGTTACTCGTACAAGAGCGTTGCCAACCTTTTGTAGATTAGGGTTTTGGAGATTTGGAGATTGTAGGACGGGAAGGATTGTGCTTCCGGTAACCTCACTCACACGGCGAAACATAATGTTGCGATTTTTGTACGCTGGTTTTCTGTGAGGACGTGGTAGCACTTTGGTCGAGCCGATCAATTTGTGCCGAAGCATGACACTTAAAAATTTCATTTAAAGCGATTACTAATAAGACTTCACTGAAGTCTTCATCAAGTGACCTCAACTATAGTTCAATTTGGAGGACCAATTTACAAAATGAAATGCACATTGCACAAATTGAGTAGAAGGGATTTTGGTTCAAACGCTTAATAGTACTGAATTACTACTGAATGCAATTCAATTAATTTGTATGAATGAATTTCGCAATAGTAAATGTATTTTAAATCGATTCGAATTGCACGTTTATTTCAAAAGCCTTCATCATCATCACTCATATCCACCATCATTCGTGAATTTCAGCTGCTCAAAATGGACTAAGTAGTATTTCTTTTTAAATAAAATTTAATACTTATGGAGCGATAGTGAAATCAAATTAGATTGTATCCGACTAACCACAGAACTTCGATTCTTACATTTTCTTTGTACAAATTGGAAATAGATCTATCTGGTTTTCTCCTTGTTACGTTTGTTTTCACTTTTATTTTTTTATTTTGATTTTGGTCAAGATTAATTTTATTCATCATATTGCTTTGGAACGTAAAAATAGCAATATCGGAAAAGGGTAGGGCCTTTTAACCTGCCTTAAAACACTTTCTTTTTGCACTTTGGTCTGCACGGTTGGCGCGGTGACTGGGCAACTGGCTGCCGCGCAACGTGCCGCGGGTTCGATTGCCGTACGGAACAACACTTTGTGTGATCCACAAATTGTTGTTTCGGGTCTGGGTGGCTTGTGTATGTGAATTTGTATGTTTGTAAACGCAATCACGACACAGGAGAAAATCCTAGTGTGGGCCAACTTTAAGAAAAAAAAACATTTTTTTTTTCTATGTCAATGAATCGTTATTATGATAAAATAAGCATAGAGATAGTAGGTATTGTTTGCCTACTTAGCTGGCTAATGCTTAATGTCGACAAAAGGCATCGTTCAACTAAAACTGTATTATTTAACTTTTTCATCTGCGTAGAAAAAAACTGTTGAGACTACTACTGTACATGGCAACAAAAAAAAATATATCTCAAAAAACGTATTCTTCGAAAACAGATGACAACCCTAGGTTCAAATTTGCAATTAGAATTAAAATTAAATTATTTTAAGAGCTATAAATTACGTTAAGTAATAAAGCCTTCAAATCCTGATTGCCTTGCTAAATTGTTGGGACATGACTTTCATAAAACAAATCAATGTTAACTTAGTCTGAATGAAAATGAATGAAAAAATGCTCTAAATTAAGAAGCTACCTGCGGTTTTTTGCATTCAGTGTCCTTGAAATGCAAATCTGCAAATGGGATTTACCCAAATGTATTTGTTAAAAGAATAACATGATATTGTAATAAGTTACACTCATTAATTTATCGTTTATCCTTATTTAAAAAAATATATGGATGTAAATTAGGGCATTTCTAATCCCCATATGAATGGGGATTAGTGGTATGGTATGGTGTAATGGTAGATTAATTATCAAATAAATACACGTTCCATTACTAAAAAAATTTACCTTTCATAATTTTTTTTTGTGGTTTCTAATACTAATACTTAGTGTTACTTCACAGAAATTAAACACAGTAAGTATTAACAAATAATGTATTGCATTTTCAAATTGTTATGAATGTCGAGCTAAGATAGCTTGCGATACAACCCTTTGATTGTTAACACATCTATCTGTTAACGTTCATGAACTTGATGTGTGATGCAGGTTCATATTATTCCTCTACCAAAGACAACAGCTAATCAACGTTATTCAATCTGACAATCAATTTCCGACGTTATTACAAAACCTTTACCGTAAAAAATTACCTAACAGATCCGAGTAGCTTAAACTGCGTTGTTCCGACCTCATAGCGTCCTACCACATGTCTGTTAGTGTTTGATTGACAGGCACTATTATTTATAATTTTTAAAACTCGCGTTTTTGGTTGTTTAGATTCTTGTTTTTTTTTGTGTTCAAAGGAGTTATACTTTATAAGATTTAAAAATAAAAATATTTTTTAGGACTGTACGGTTAGTTGAGTAGTTACTACGCAACACAAATAACTCCGTTTTACGAATTTGAATTCAATAGGAACGGTTTTCTATCGATGCTATTAATGACAATTTTAATAAACATTCCTAAACATAAGAAATACTGAAAAACAGTTTTGATTCTAAAATTGCTATGCTAGCGTGAATAACTTTTATAACTTCTGAGTGCAATTGTTATTTAAGTTTAAAATGGCAATTTAAACAACAAGTTATATTTTCAACAGATCATGTCAATGAACGGATCGTAATAGACTTTCGTGTTCAATGCTTTTACATAAATATTTTCCAAGAAATGACTATTTACTCGTATTATGCATGTTGAACAACCACGTAATTTATATCAATCATGGGTGTAATGATCGCAATAGTTTTAATTGAGTGATGGTACTTCTTCAGAGGAAGTGGTCCAAAATTATTTTTCAGGTTTTTCATTTGTGTTTATGGGAATTTGGGACATGGGGGTGGTTTTTTGTCAATTTGAGTCCCAAAGTCCCAAGATTTTCAAGGACGAACCCGAGGGTAGTGAATCTATTTAGAATTGATCACCTTTAAGCAAAAAAAGATAATAAGTGTTTCTGACTGTAGAATAATAAAATTTCAGAAATGCGTTGCGCACTGTGCATCGGTTAACTAATCATTTCAAAACATGGCCAATATGGTCAAAAGGAAACTTTTGTTTTTTCGTAACATATAAATATAGTTTTCTCGCTAGTTCACACTGGAAGAAATATTTATATATTTATAAATATTAAGCAACATTTTTGCTCAAAGTTTATATGACTGGATTGGAACTTCGATAAAATAGTTTCGAAGAACTAACAATTTAGTAGTATTATTGTCAGTTAAGGAGTGGTGTAATAGATACCGATGCTCGGTACAAATAAAATACAGCGAACAGATGTACCAGCTCGTTTCCGATAAGGGAAGTGTTCTCGTGATAACGGGTGCGATGCACACGCGAGCCCGTTGGTCATCAACATTGTTTACACAGAAGGTTTATTTTATTCGTCATTATTTTTTGTGGGATGGGAGGCAAACGAGCCGACTGATTATTACCTGATGGTAAGCAATCAGCACGGTCCATGTACCTACTACCAAAACACAAGATGAGATAATCAATATTGAATATTGCGAAATTTTGGACCTCTTCTTCGAAACTTCTCTTCTTCTACTACTTCTACTTCCTCTTCTAATTCTTTAGACATGGTACTAACCTACATTGAAAAAAAAACAGTAAAGGTTTAGTTTTGTCAGAGAAAGATCTTGTCAAATCTTTGAGAAATATGTGGTTTCTTAATTCACCTTTTACAAAACGCGCTAGAGGAAGAAAAAACACCCATTCTATCTTACCCTTCCTTCATACAGGGCTAAAACTTTCAATAGATATCTAAGTAGTAAAAGTAACGAAGTAAAATTCGTTACCATTTAAATGATGCCACACATGTTGCCAATACATATTAAATTGCTAGTTTTTCTTACTTTACTGCTTAACTTCAAATAATAAATTAATATATATTAAAACATGTGAATGTTGCCAGACAGTGTAAAAAACCTATCTTTAGTAAACTCAAAATCGATAAGTTCTTCCTTTGCCCAGGATTTTACTGTGTTAATTGTGCTGAACATGTACCTATGCAATTCACTTAAGTGCCCGCTAATGAGCAAATAAATTAGCAGCGATAAGGATATTACTAAGAAGTTGATAATTAATTTGTACACTTGATACTCATCTGTCCCTTGAATACATACCTATAGTATAGTTTATTTAGCGTTTAAAATTTATACCGTTATTCACAAATTAGGCAGGCGTATTCATACGAAGGCATAAAATTAGAATTATTCACAACCAAGCGAAGCATTAAAATAATTAAACTACAAACGTAGGGTTAAAAACCGTGAAGAGAAGTTTACTACGGCTACTTGAACTAAAACTATCTACTTGAATTAAAATAATATTAAGCAATAAATCGCGCACCGTTATCTCAAACACTCCATACTTATTTGGTATTCGTATCGGCGATATTACAATCAATGCATATCTCTCGATATCGTTCAAACTTCATGTGGTGAGATATGGCAGTGCGGTGTGAACGTTTGGCTAACGCGGATTGTCCTCAAGTTTTTCCACAGTGAATTTTATCTAACGTGTTGAACGGAAGCCGGCCGATGCGCACATCTCGTTGCCGCATCCCGTTTCACTCGGCCCTCCGCCAATCGCCTCCGACCTCCGACCAAACGGACCTCTACACCTCAATTCTCCCTCAGTCTTACTGTAGGCGGCGCGACGCACGGACGTACGCGACTGTCGCTCGGTATTCGTTCGCGAGCTTTCGAATTTTACCTGTGGATTGTCAGTGACATGTGTCTATAAAAAATACATTATATAAACATTGTGGATTTTTTTCTGGATTAACACTGCCCTGTTTCGAGTTCCGGGAAAATCGCAACATATCATATTCAAGGTCGGTGTGTTATGTATGCTTTGCGAATAGTAATGCGATTGGATGCATTCGGAATGTCACCCGTCCAGTCTTTATAAGTTAGCATTAAAGGATTGCCGAGGTGAAGGAAATCTTTTTAAACTTTGTGTATCGGAGTTCGTTGACGTCTTTGTAGACTTGTTTTTTCCTTTAATTATTTTTTGTTGTCTGACCGGTGCGTGAGACGGGTATCTGCGCTTACTCGATCATTCTCCCATCACTATACTTGCACATAAATAAAGGACAATCGGATATTGGAGATTTCAATAGCACGGTTTCCGGTTTTGCTTGAAGTGAGTAACGTACAAGTTTCCTGTTTATCTTTGAAACAATAGGGTATTTTAGTCTCGATGCCAATCTGAGAACGAACCATTAACTTCCTTAGAGTGTATGTATTTTTAAACTCCAATGTAAACTTCGCTAGTTGAAAAGCCTAATAAAATTGACTTTGGAAATATTTACTTTCGCAACTACTGGTGAACATAAAACAGAAGTTTCGCACAAAATATTCTATTAATAATGAATCAGAGGCGGCTGAACCGAAGTGAATTGGCATTTATTATCAAGATGATCTCACCGGTACCCTCAGCCTATTTGAATATTTTCTTTTTGTACGCCTTTGTTCAACGCAAACATATTCATGTTATCATTCGTAGGTAGATGTTGACAATACTAATCGTGACAATTTCTTTGATTATTAGTGCAAATCTATTATGAAGCGGTGATGATAAAGACACTATTAATATTATTGATATTATTGAACTTGTTCATAAAAGATAAGAACGAATATTACTTATAATGGATATAATGTAATGGTAGGTAGGTAGTTAGCTAGGATGGGTCCGGTAATTATTTAAAGTTTTGTCACTAGTTTTTGGAGAAATATTAAGTGGTAAAGGTATCACCTTTACTTAATTTTCACATTGTTTCTGATACTTGTAACGATATTTAGATTAGATTTTTTATTTGAGTGTTTATGAAGGATGAAAATAATTAGGCATATGTATGAGCATTGAGGAATATCACATTTCATTGCGTCTCCCTTTCACATACACGGCGATACTTTGAGATGCACAAATGGCATGCATATGCAAGTATAATATAAATATGAGTCACAAAATAAACAATTACTTGTGTAGGTACTTACAAATCCTTCGCATAAGAACCACCTCATAATTACTGAACGATGACTGCACCTGACAAAACTGACGATAAGCCATTTTCGTTTCCTAGTGTGTCAAGGTTGTTAAAACCGGCAGCCATACAATTATTAAGTAATTACGTAAAACATCTGTATTCCTTGAATTATGAATCGACCTAAGTAGGGAGGAAGCGGTAATAGGTTCACAGTGTGTCATTTGAAAGGAGATAAATGATAATGACTGAATTTACCAAACAATACGTTTTTTGCTAACCTAACGTGTAATCAGGGCTAATATGATGTGTGCTTCGAGTACGTACAAGGAAATTTGGTAATTTCCTTGAAACTATGAAGGAATTTAGAATGTTTTGAACTGATTATTCATTTATAGTTAAACATGTTTTAGAAACATTGTTTTCTATCGAGAAGCTGGGTTTGATGTAAAGAAACACGTATAAAGTTTTTTCTTTTCGTATCGTAAGTGTTCTATTTATAAAATTGTTAGAGGTGATTGACTTTGTAAACAATCTTTTAATAGATTTAGATTTCGTAACGCAAACTGGACGACAGCTGACTGAGCAAAACTATTTTTTGCTGACTTTATGATAATGGCGTGATATCAAATAAATTGTATTCTTCAATAGCTGCTTTTAAAAAGCAGAATTATTATTGATATAAAAAAGTCCCATATTTTTTTAAAGTATAACCATTATAATGTTAAGGGTTTGTGTGAACGTTTCCATTAACATAAACCAGTGTTAATTAGTCCCATAATAACTGTTGATAATTCATTCTACAGTAATAAATAGCCGTTACATTTGACTCACGAAAACGCCACACTTAAAATTTTTACGAGTGCCTCGCTGAAGAAAAAAGCTGTTGTTTTGTTTAGATAGAAGTGATTTAGTAGTTTTAAACTAGGAAAGGCCACCGTCATGGCTGTCGTTCTACGAATGGGGTTGCAAGAGACAAATTAAAAATGTTAAGTAATGTTTTGGCTGCCGGATCTGTCAATTTTCTACTTTAAATCTACTTTCTTACTTACAAAAATAAGCGTACCTATTGATAACTATAAAACTTTTTGCACAAAACTACATATAATTTATAATTTCCTAGATACAGATTCTCATGACTAAACACTGAAATATATATTAGTAAAGAAAACAATAAAAATTAGAACGAACCAACAACATTAACATAAAAGTAGACTAGTTCATACCCTGCTTAAACTTTTATTCAATACCCGAAATAGACATTCAAAGTGAAATCCAAAAATAAAGACAGACAGTTTAGTTTTTACAGAAAGCTATTTATGTAACTGATATTGATCCTTATAATAATTGTGCTAAAATTAGTTTTAACGTGAAATGGAGTTTTGGTAAAACATTACAATATATGTGCCAGTCATCAGTTAAAGTCAGCAGAAAATTTTCAACTGTCTGCTCAAGATTGAAAGTGGAATAGTTTCGGATACTTGAGACCCCCAACGTTTCCCGAAAGCTAATTAGTACAGTGACTTCGTCCACCGTCAAACAGATTTGTGTCGATTCCTTCCCAGCTTGTTGTGAAATTGAGAATTTATGTTAAGATGAGTTAAAACATAGTATTTGAACTGAGTTTAATCTTAAAATCGTCATTGTTTGACTAGGATTTATCAATCATCCGTTGGCAAATTTAATTTATGTTAACCTCAGTTGGTTTTGACCGCTTTTTTCAATTAACAAATCGGAAGGTTTTTACATTACGCCCGAGACCTTTACTTAGCTTATTAAATCTGAGTAATATTACTAGTGGGCGGTGCTAGATGTTATCATGTACCAAATGTAATTGTTTATGTATGTATTTTAGGACAATATACACATTTAAGGTCAACTATTTCCAGCCGGAAATAGATTCGGCCACTGGCTTATGAAAAACCTTCGGAAAATATATTGACCCAAAGCCTAAATAAATTTTCGAATAAACGGCTATCGAAACTTTCAAAGCAAATATATCCGTATGAATATTCAGTACTAACCCTACAATAATAAAGTTGATATTTCTATCGCAAAATATTCGGGGCCACCGGCACCGCGGCCGGTTGTTGTTTTAAAACTTCTCTTCAAATAGAAGCGGTTATTGCTTAGATTTTGCCTAAGCTTTCATAACAGGAGAGTAAAACTGTGTTAAGCCCCAAGTAGTGAGCACGGACCAATACTCGGGAACAATATGCGGCTTAATTTCAAAGCGCTTTGTTTAAGAGCCAATCAAAATTATGCACGGCGGCTTCCATATTTCTGGAACGTCAACTCAGTAGGTACCCGGTAACGAGTTTTGTTCCCCCACACAGTTTAGGACCAACTGCTGAGGTAATTTTAGCTGTTTCAAGACTACTGTGAGATTCTGCTTAAAACAATAGTCGTAAATTCAACTGGGCCCGTCAAGGTGCTTAATTTAAACAAGTCTTTGAACGCTCATATGGCGTGGACAAAAGAGTGGTTTGTCTGCGCTTGGAGCGCTCCATTGAAATTATAATCGTACGAGATGCCTTGCTTAGCGCATTAAGTGTCTGAAATTAACGCGTCGAACCTATTAAGCTGTCTACGTCGAGCGGACGAGTTTTAAAATAACTGATCATGAGAGAGCACGTTCTTTATGAATAATTGGAAACGGAACTTCATTCATCTTTCTCTATCAATTATGGGAGCTTTTGGAACATGAGAGTTTTATACATAATTAATGTTTCTCTCTTTATCTTTGACACAATAGACTTCATCCAAAGACCGTTGCTTTACTAAAGGAGTAGCATCTTCATTTGTGACTGTCTAAAGTTGAGTCTATTTCTGTATTGCCGGTTCCTTTGCTTAAAAGACATTACGAGTCTAATATGCTCTCTCAGTTATTGTTTCACTTACGTTCTAATTTATTCGTTCTTTGTCAAAGTTACACAAAAACACGTTCTAATTGTCAACGTGATGCAACATCGTTTTCTCGCGAACGACAAACCTAAGATATGAGTAATTACACTGGATTTACTTCCGTGCCGCTACGTACGGAATGGGTGCCAGCCATGCCATGGGAACATCGCTGAATTAACGGATTTACTTTTGTTTATAATTTATCCACAGAATTGATGCAGTAAGTCGGGTATTTCTAGAATTAATTGTTTTACGTCTGTTGAAAATCGTGTATAACTTTATTGTTTTATCCGTGTTACTGAGTTTATTTATAAAAAGATAAGACTAGCACAATTTGAATGTTTTCACTTTGAAATAGTCTATTTTTATTTCATTTTATGTTTATAATACTTACTGCTGATTAATTAACTGGAATTGAATTAGCATTTTTAAATTGATTTTAAAACGCCCCATTTTTGCAGTAGCATCAACAAAATTACAATGTAAATTGAATAATTATAATTTTATTGCTAAGAACTGCAGCGTTATCTTCAACAATTAATTGCCGTCCCTATTCTCTGGTCTTAGAACAAAACCCAGTAAAATTCCCGAAGCGTAACGTTTTTCAAAGAACTTGAGTGAATTTCAAATAATGGGTCGTGCGAAACGTGAATTGCGTTTTGTGGTCATGCAGATATAAGTTCTTTAATATATGTACGCGGTTGGACCTAACAATCTGTTCTACTGTCAGCTTACATTTGCTAATACTGACGTAATCGAAATCCCGATTTTGGATGGATTCGCGCCATGAATCGTAAAGTTGTTGAACGATGTCCGTTCTATTTAAAGATTTTTATTAAGCGTGTCGATGTAATTACCTACTGATGTTTTTCTTTACATGAAATCATTCTGAGTCATATTATATTGATTCAGGTTTTTACCCGACATTGCGATATATGACAAAA